TCCTCCTCCTCGCCCTCCCTCTTCTTCTCTTTCCCCACCTCCTTCTCCTCCCATCCCTCTTTTCTTCCTCCTCCTACTCCCTCTTCTCCCCTTCTTCTTCCCTTTCTCCTATATAACCAAAAATTAGAAACCACACAACGAAGATAACTTTAGAAACCTCACCCACTAATGTCTATATCATAAAATAGGTGCATTGAAGATTAGAAACCTTCCCTTCACTAATTTACATATAACGACGAAAAAAACCAATAAAAAATTAAAAAACCCACAAAAACCTTCTCTTACTAATCGATCTATAGAAAACGTAAATAATAAAAAAAAAAAACAATTAGAAACCTTCCCTTCCTTTTAGTTCAGCATCAAAGTCGACCCAAAACACAAGCACAGGTCTTGATTGGGTCTGGCCATCACCTGACGAGCAGTACGACATTTGCATATTAAACTAAGGTTATCAGACGTGAGGTAATTAAGAGGTAGAGGTAACGATGTAAGTGGAGGTCAAAGAGAATTACCTGATATATGCCTGAGGAATAATGAAGGGAGGAAGGTAGGTAGGAGGGGGGGGTAAGGGAGGGGTGGAGAGAGGGGGTGAGGGAGGGAGGAAGGGAGGAAGGGGGGATAAGGGGGTGAGGGAGGGAGGGAGTGAGGAAGGAAAGAGAGAGACGGATAGAAAAACGAGAAGAAAATATGAGAGAAAACGAAATAAATGTATAGTATATATCAGGTGCCTCAACGAGAGCTCAGGTTCTCAACTGTCTCAGCTATGTTAATATTGTTATTATTATCCACTCTGTATCTGTGATTTAGGGGTAAATAAACTGTTTCAATTCAAATTCAATTCAAGAAGAAGAAGAACAAGAACAACAACAACAACAACAACAACAGGAACAAGAAGAACATGAGCATGAAGAAGAAGAAGAAGAAGAAGAAGAAGAAGAACAAGAAGAACAAGAAGAGCAAGAAGAAGAACAAGAAGAAGAACAAGAAGAAGAACAAGAACAAGAACAACAACAACAACAAGATACACAAACCAATCCACTGAATCATACCATAACGAGTGTATTCAGTGCAGTAAACAAACAAACAAACAAACACACACCTGTACACACTTTCCTCACCTACACCTGTACTCACACACCTATCCCACAGTTTCACCACACACACCTGAAAACACATCCACACCTGTCACCATATACTGTACATTCAGCTTACTGGATCCAAATCCACATATGTGACCACACCAACATACTTAGGTTCTTACACCCACATCCCAAACCACACCTATGACCACACCCACAGCTTCCTCTAACGTCACCTAACTTAACTTGAACTAACCTAACCTAACCTAACAAGTGGTAGATTTCTGACGTAATTCACGTAACAAGACGGACAGACGGACAGACGGACGGACGTATGGACGGACGGAACGGTATAATCCAGTTTGGTCTTGTAACCAATCAGGTGAGAGTGGATATATTCCCAAACCAATTAGAAGGCAGTGGAAATGTTCGACAAATGAGATCGGAGTTACGTATTGTTCAGCCAATTAGATGGCACCGGGGATATTGTAACCAATTAGATGGTAGAAGGAGTTTTATCCGACCAATGAGAAAAGAGTAATGTAGCGTCTCACTGTTTCAACCAATTAGATGACAGTAGGGGTATTATCTAACCAATTAGATGGAAGTGGCAATATTATATAACCAATCAGATGGTAGTGAAGATATCGAGCAACCAATCACAAGGGAGTTATGTATATTCCAACAAGAAAGAAGTCTAAGAGGATATCAGTCAACCAATCACATACTCGGAGCATATATTTCAATCAATAGGAAGCTTATAAGGATACCAATCAACCAATCACATACTAGGAGCATATATTTCAACCAATAGGAAGGTTATAAGGATACCAATTAACCAATCACCTAGTAGGTCAGTATATTCCAACCAATCAGATAATAGATAAGCTTGTTTACGTTACCTCAGGCTTTGTGAACGTGGCCAAATGTGTTGACTGAGGTACTGATAACGATAGGGAGGGGAAGGGGAGGGGAAGGGAGGGGGAAGGGGAGGGGGAAGGGGGAGGGGAGGGGAGAAGAGGGGAGGGGGAGGGAAGAAGAGGAGGGGGGTGATAAACGCTTCCCTACCTCTTATCTTCTCTTCCCTTCCCTCCTACTCCCCTTCCTCCCTCTTTAACTCTTGTCAGTGTACCTCCCCCCCTCCAACAATCCATAACCTCCCCACAATCCATACCTTGTCTCCCCACTACAACCTCCTCACTACCCCTAACCACCCTACTAACCCTTTACCTCCCCCACAATCTCTACCTGTCCTCCCCACCATAACCTCCCCACACCCCTACCTGTCCCCACCACAACCTCCCCACAATCTCACCTGTCCTCCCCACCACAACCTCCCCACAATCTCTACCTGTCCTCCCCACAACACAACCCTCCCCCCACCACATCTCTCTGCACCTCCCACACAACCTCCCCACAATCTCTCCCTCCCCACCAACCTGCCTTCCCACCACAACCTCCCCACAACCTCTACCTGCCCTCCCTCCACACACCTCACTGCAGCCAATCAATGGTCAGACTCGGCTTCGGGTCTCGTCAGAGTGATTAGCATGTCAGGTAATAACTACCGTAACCTAACCTAACTAAACTTGACCTCACATAACCAGACTTGACCTAACTTAACCAAACCTTGACCTTACTTAACTGAATTTGGCTAATTTAACCGAATTTGACCTAAAATAATTACACTCTGACCTAATTTAACCAAACTTGACCAAACTTAACCAAACCTAGCCAAATTTGACCCATTTTTTAACATAACCTTAACCTGACCCACTCTAAGCTAACCTAACCTAATCTTCCAAACGTAAATTAACCAAAATTCAACTTAACCTAAACTAATGACACTTTAACTAACCCTCACCTAACTTAACCCCATGAAACAACTGGACAAACACTAGGCATATCAAGATGACATGTGAGGTTACAGAGCTCTGAAATACCATGTTACAGAGCCACTAAATAGCCTCCATCTCCCCCCCCCCTCTTGCTCTAGTACACCTAATGTTATTCAGATGGAGCTCTATATTACACAGGGGGACATAGAGTCTAAGTTATAAAGTTATCAGGAAGTTGTACACAAAAATAGAGCACTGAGTTGTGTGTGTTAATCCATCCCATTACCTGTGTTCCACGTGTCCCATTACCTGTGTTCCACGTGTCCCATTACCTGTGTTTCACGTGTCCCATTACCTGTGTTTCACGTGTCTTATTACCTGTGTCCCATTACCTGTGTTTCACGTGTCCCATTACCTGTGTTCCACGTGTCCCATTACCTGTGTTCCACGTGTCCCATTACCTGTGTTTCACGTGTCCCATTACCTGTGTCCCACGTGTCCCATTACCTGAGGCGAAAGATAAAATAAAGGATTTAATGAAAGCTTTATGCAGGACATCCGTTGGCCTACGTACACACACACACACACGGCTATCAGGTTGGCTCTACACAGGTGAGTTGGTTAATGATACAATACACCTGTGTCTGAGGAGCTGCCGGGTGAGTGGTCGAGCTGCTCGTATCTATAACTCTCAGTACACGTGGCACGGTGACGATATTTGCTGCAGGTACACCCCACCCCTCCCCGCCCCGCCCCGCCCCGCCCCTGCCCCGCCTACCACGCTACACCCCAGAAAAAAGTCACCAGGTGTGTTTCTCTTCAGGTACATTAATGTATACTTGTGTTAATTATTAACTGTTCTTGTACTTCACGACACACACACACACGACACTCCTCACAGGTGGAAGTACGTGGATGACTGCTCTGTGGGGGTTTCAGAGGACAACACCGCACCAGACTACTCATCGCTACAAGGCACCCTGGACAGGCTACAGGCATGGACTACGGAGAACAAGGTCACTATCAACCACACCAAAACCGTAGTCATGCACATCAATACCGCCACCACTCCAGTGCAAGCTCCAGCAGTCACAGTGGGTGCCCATCCTCTCCTGCTGGTGCAGTCTGCCAAACTCCTGGGTGTAACTATAGGCAGCAAACTTGACTGGAAGGCCCATGTAAATAACACAGTCAAGGCAGCCTCGTACCGTCTCTAAATGCTACGAAGACTTAGGTCACTTGGGACACCCACGCCAGAGCTGAGGACCATCTACAACGCTTTTATTCTCCCCAAACTAACGTATGCGTCACCAGCCTGGTCGTCTTCTCTCAACTCCACCCAACAACGTCAGCTAGAGAAGGTACAGAAAAGGGCCTGAAGAATCATGCTCGGCGCAGAATACTTCAGCTACATCAACGCTCTCTCCACCCTGGAAATGCCATCCCTCAGTGACCTCCACCACCAAGCAATAGCAAGGTTTGGCAGTGGACTACTGCACCACCCTCGTCATCGCCACCTCCTGCCACCTGCAGCCCTACCCACCTCGCGCAGTCCGCCACGACAACAAAATTCAGCCCATAAGAGCCCGCACTGATAGATATAAGAACAGCACCATCCCATCTATTGTTAAAATAATAAACAACTCCAGATTTATGTACTGTACAGCCCAGTAAATGTATTCAATGCATATTATATCATTATGTCTAAATCAAATGTAAGTCTGTATATTTTCTGCCACTGGCTGCAACTCTATTAATAAACCGTTTATTATTATTATTATTGTTGCACACACACACACACAAACACACACACAGGGTCACCAAACTGATCTTCACTCACAGCGCTCAATGTACAACACTCCAATAACTTCAGTACACCAACACAACCATCCCCACTACACACACCTGTACACAGATATACCCCGTCCTAACCCTACACCCCACGTCACCAGGTGTACCCGTCTCACTACACAGGTATACACCCACAAACAAGAGGAGGTTTACCTGAGAGAGATTCTTAAGCAGTAAGCAAGGCGGCAGCTGATTTACAACAACATCATCAACAACAACAACAGGTCCTCACGTGTTCACTACAACACCTGACGGAGTAAACACTGAGTGGTTGGCACTGGCACCCCGGCGCTGGCACACTGGTGGTGAGGACGGCGTGGTAGCGAGCTGTGGTAAACGAGGCACTGCCGTTGCTGCCGCCGCTGTCAGGCAAGGCAGATAAGGAAGCTCACGGACGGACGGCACTGTCTAGTCCAGTAACTGTAAGTGTGGCGGAGTGTGGCGGAGGTGTGTCACAGTGTGCACTTGCCACACTTGTCGTCAAAATCACCCGCCTCACTCGCCCCCCTCACCCAGCCCGCCTCTACACTACGGTAATTTTGTGTGTGTATGTATGTATGTATGTGTGTGTGTGTGTGTGTGTGGGTAGGTGGGTGTGTGTGTATGTGTGTCCGAATGAGTGAACCCAGCAAACAAAACTGGTGAACGCTGCCTAAGATAATACAAGTAACGCCTTCCTACAGATAACCTCGCCACTATCTTATCTATTACCATATATAAATATTAACTCCGGTATTCACGTCATAAACAGCAACCTATTTGTCCCGTTAGTCTCTGTTGGAAGGAAAAAAAATCCAGTAATATCATCGAGGGTTTGGGAGAGTGGCAATGGCGACAGTAATGCCACTTCCGGTTGGCTATGATGTCACTAGAGATAACAAGTGTTAGGAAGCGTGGGTGTGGCTCTGCCTTCGTCTTCCCCGACTTCTAGTAAATATCCCAACACTTTATTTTCCGAACAATAAATAGATAAATTAGACTTTACTTCAAACAATATCCAGAAATAATTATCTCAGAGTCGCTTTAAATAGATTCGCTTTGTCATTTATAGATTTAAATGAAGGCAAATCTATGCGTATGGTTAATGGTGAAGGGGTGAGTTTTGGTGAGTTGGAACACGTGTGATTTCAAGGCTTTAAATAAGACGGCATTAATGAATTTATAATAATAATAATAATAATAATAATAAACTTTCTAGTGTTTATTTAAGTCAAGTAATATATTTATTGGAATGTTGTTTATTTATTGATGTTTATACTAACTTCTCAACGTTTTAAAATACGTAAAAACAATTAGATGTTGTTCACCCTGGGAATAACAACCCCAAGCCCAAAAGTAAACATATGGGCGTTGTTCATCCTGGGAATAGGACTCTCCACCCTCCTTTCCCCTACCTTACCCAATGATAAACATGAATAATGAATACCAATGAACATACGGGTGTTGTAGTCATCCTGGGGAAGAAAACAACAACCAACTCACATCCCACACCTTTCATACACGCACTTATAATGAGCAACACACCTGTAATGACCTACACACACCTGTTATTGATTAACACACCTGTCCTTGAGGTTATCGAAGGGGGGGCAGGTGTCAATGTTATTCACAGTCGATATGATTTAACTGAGCAGTAACTTTAATCCTTTTACGACGATGTTATAAAACTTTAACCCTTTGACGAATATGTTATAACACTTTAACCCTTTGATTTAACCCTGACGACTATTATTTAACCCATTTACGACAATAATTTAAGTCGAGTACAGATAATTAACCGACAGAAATTAAAATAAAAATGTAGAAAAGGGTAGGAAGGGGGAAAAGGGTAGGGGAGGGTAAGAGCGGATGGAAGAAGGAAAGGGGAGAAGGAGGGAGAAGGAAGAGAAGGGAAGGTTAATAAAATAGCGAGAAAAAAAAATCCATATTTCAGGTTTACGACAAAAAAGGCCACACAATATCTAAAACTGAACCTGGAAATAATTTAGCCTCAATTTATCTCTATATTTCTCACTATGGAAAAAAAAAACCTCGATGTGTTTTATGTATTTTGGGGGGGTAGGGGGGGCAGGGTGGGCGGGCAGGGGGTGGGCAGGCAGAGGTAGGTGGGAAAATAGAAAATTCCTCACTCAATCACTGTGAGAGTCGTTCTGTTGTGACGTAATCTGAAAAGGTTCCGCCTCTCTTTTCTCGTCCCTCTCTCCCTCCTCCAATCCCTCCCCTCTCCCTCCAATCCTCCCTCCCCTCCAATCCTCCCTCCTCCTCCCTCCCTCCCCTCCTCCTCCCCTCCCCTCCTCCCTCCCTCCCCTCCCCACCTCCAGACATCAACGATTCAGTTACAATAATTGAAATAATCTCAATGGATTCAACAGTTGACTGTGAATAATCAACACTGGGTATAGGGGTGAGAAGTGAGGAGGAGGAGATGAGGAGGAGGGTGAGGAGGAGGGGTGAGGAGGAGTGAGGAGGAGGGGGTGAGGAGGAGGGTGAGGAGGGAGGGGTGAGGAGGAGGGTGAGGAGGGTGAGGAGGAGGGGGTGAGGGAGGAGGGAGGTGAGGAGGAGGGGTGAGGGAGGAGGGTGATGGAGGGAGGGTGTGAGGGAGGAGGGGAGGAGGGAGGGTGAGGAGGAGGGTGAGGAGGAGGGTGAGGAGGGAGGGTGAGGGAGGAGGGTGAGGAGGAGGGGGTGTGAGGGAGGTGAGGGAGGGAGGGGGTGGGGAGGGTGAGGAGGAGGGGGTGAGGGAGGATGGGGTGGGGAGGGTGAGGGAGAGAGGGTGAGGGAGGGAGGGTTGAAGTTGAAGTAGGTTGACCAGGTAGCCAGGTGCAGTGTTTCTTCAGTATTCATGGATGCTGCAGGTGTAGGCTATGCAGGTGTGGGGGGTGGGGGGGGGTGGGGAGGGTGGATGGGTGTGTGTGGGTGTATAGAGTGTGTGGGGGTATAGAGGTATTAGGGGTGTGTAGGTATAGAGTGTGGGGGTTATGGGGGTGTTTCAGGGGGGTTATAGAGTGTGTGGTTTTCCCGAGCAGTTAACCCACAACACCACACAGCTATTTGCCGAGAAGTCACCTAGAACTTGTAATTTAATCCTCTCTCTCTCTCTCTCTCCTCCACACCTGTGACAAACACCTGTTGTCGCCCCCAGCTGTTCCTCGGTGGTTATCAGTGTGTGATGCCATATTAAAAAGAGGCACGCACACACACGCACGCACACACACACACACACACAAAATTCAAGGTTGGAGAGAGGCGGAACAGGTGAACGAACATAAAATCATCACAGGTATTATATAAACACTTCATTTTCACCCAACATATCAACACACTGATATAATATCTCAAATTTATTTACGAATAAAGATGAAACACACGTCCAAACTTTATATATATATTCATCTTTTCATAAACCATCGTATTTTTTTTACCAATTACTTTCTTTCACCACAACCTAACCTAACCTATATATAGTTGACATGAAAAAAAAACGAACTAAAATAAAATAAAAATAAACCTATACGTCACCCCTATAGTGACGTATCGATGACGTCAGTACACCATTCATAAAACACCGACACTCGTAAACAAACAGTAAAGTGAAAGTGAACTGTTATTTTCACCCACGAAAAAAAAAAATAAATAAAAATGTCTATCCTCACCGTCACAACACCAGAGATAAAGGTTAAACAAAAAGGGATATTGATATTTTTTTTAACCCTATTTAGAGGTGAAAGGCATTAACCATAACGAGAATTTGTAGAGTGAATATTAATAAACAGAATTATTTGGGGTTAGGTTAGGTGTTGTGGTTAAGTGGCGTTTAACATGTGGATCGTGTTTGGTTATCCACATATTTATTAGCAGCTTATCCACACACTCTTTGCATCTTATCCACACTCTTAGTATGTTATCCACACTCTTTAGGCATCTTATCCACACTCTTAGCATCATATCCACACTTTGTATCTTATCCACACACTTACCACATCATCCACACACATACACTGTTTCTTTCATTGTGAACTAAACTGCATTATTTCACACCAATTACGATCCAATTTAAAAAACATTACACAATTCTTCCACAATTTCACACACACACCCCAATTAATACTACACAATTTTGCACCACATTGTCCAATTTTCACAATTTTTCACTATTTCTGTCTCATAAATAATCAATAACTATGGCATTTTAATTAATCCAAGTCAATTTACTCACCTGTCTTGGCAGAGGTGATGACGTCCCTGAAGGTAATTAGCCATAAACTAATGACCCAATTAACCTGGAAAGAAAGAAAAAAAAAGATGCCTGAATAGTGGGGTACATATAATGAATGAAGAAATTATCCCAGTGATATGATAGAAATGAAAGAAATACTCCCTTATATAATCAACGAAGGGGACTGTAGGTGAGACTCATGGCAGGTCGGTGGTGTTCCTACCCACGCCATAATAAAGTCCAAGGGGCCATAACCAAGTCCAAGGGGCCATAACTAAATCCAAGGGGCCATAACAAAATCCAAGGGGCCATAACAAAATCCAAGGGGCCATAACTAAATCCAAGGGGGCCTGGCAAGTCCAAGGGCCATAACCAAACGGTCAAGGGGCCATAATAAAGTCCAAGGGGGCCATAATAACAAAATCAAGAGGCCTGTAACAAAATCCAAGGGGCCTAACTAAATCCGAGAGCCATAACCAAGTCCAAGGGGCCATAATAAAGTCCAAAGGGCCATAATAAAAGAATCCAAGGGCCATAACAAAATCGAGAGCCATAATAACCGTCAGGGGCCATAACCCGTCAAGGGGAGCCATAATAAAGGTCCAAAGGGCCATAATAAAATCCGAGGCCATAACAAAATCAAGGGGCCATAACAAAATCCAAGGGCCATAACCAGAAGTCCAAGTGGCCATAATAAAGTCCAAAGGGCCATAATAAAGTCCAAGGGCCATAACAAAATCCAAGGGCCATAACCAAGTCCAGGGGCCATAACCAAGTCAAGGGCCATAATAAAGTCAAAGGGCCATAATAAGTCCAAGGGCCATAACAAAATCAAGGGGCCATAACAAAATCCAGGGCCATAACCAAGTCAAGTAATATAATAAAGACCCATAAACCCCTTATCATAAACACTTAATTCGGTTTAAGTCAATTAGTGTTGGTTTATGTTATCGGGTGAATAACTCTTGGACGGACGGACGGACGGACGGACGGACGGACGGACGGACGGACGGACGTAATTACAAAAACAAAACAATTGAAAGAAAAACAAACATTAATTACAAAAAAATAAATGTAAGTTATAAATTTCATCTCCACCTATCCACCTCCCCCTCCACCTATCCACCTCACCTTTCCTCCAATCAAAGCCCTCCTTCATCCCCCTTCCACCCCTACCCATACATTCTACCCCCCTCTACCTCCAACCCCCCGCCCCCCCCTCCAGGAACAGCAGGTAACTTCACGTATCTAATTCCCATCACAAACTTTTTCACTCCCAAGATTGTTAATTAATCGCCAAGACAAACGTAAAACTTTTGATGAAAATAAACCTAAACCACTAAGTTTTTTATTTATTTTTTTTTTGGGGGGGAGAAGAAATTGTTTATATTTTTGTTTTTT